TTATAATTTTATGTAATTGGAGCGAAAGGTATTCTTCTGATTTTAAGGAATGGATCCAAGGTATAAGTTTGTTATCCATTGTTGTTTTTTTAATTCTTTGTGCTCTAAAAATGAGGACATAACAGATTGCTATATAGTCCATATTTAATGATAAGTTTAACAATTAAATTTATATCACATAGCTCGCTCTCTCTCTCTCTCTCTCTATATATATATATATATATTTATATGGGGTTTTTTTTGTTTTTGTTATGTTTAGTTCATTTAATCACCATTACATATTTAGTTCTTTTTCCTTCCCGTGTTACCATTATTTGATCTAGACCTTTTTTTTTTTTAAATTTCATGATTGTAGTAATAAAAACAATTTTTCAAACAGGAAGTTTTAAAAAAGGTTCCTAACATATTCCCTTCCAGCCTTTGCTGCGAAGAGCTTCCGTAGCTTTTCTTTTCAGCAGGAACTGACAGCGAATCCTGACAGTGCCTAAAAAATGCCTTGTTCTTTTTCTCTGTCAGTTGTGCTAACAATGGGAAAAGCAAAATACTGAAACTGAAAAAGGATCTGCTATACACAGATGGGTCTCAGATTATGCTGCAGTACCTAGAAGGGAAATGCTGTCAGCCCCACCAGAATAATAGTAGCAGGATTAGTAGGAATTGAAATAGCAGAGGTTTTGTAAGCAGAGCCATTCACTCTCAAAGTGTGAAATGTAGTGGAATTCATTCTTTCGTTCTGTGATGCTTTCATTTACTTAATCACCTTTTATGCTGCCTTGATCACAAAGGTGACTCCAGCCGGCTGACATATTTGGATTAATCTAATAATAAGAATAATAAACAAATATATTCAACAGCGTTGTCAACAATTCATTTTTAACCCCCGTGTTTCAGCTATTGAGGTTTCTTTAAATAGCATATTTTAGGTCTCTACTTTTTGCATATTTTGAAATCCCCCAAAGGCTTTCATGCCTGAAATGCTTTGGGCATGCTATATAAGAATGACCATAAGGCCCTCTGAATAAATCCCCCCGCCCTTGAAGTATCACTGGCCAGCAGGTGGAATGTTGTTAATGGTTAGGACTATGCAGCCATCTGGTCTCAAAAGGGAAAATGTGATTTGTAATACTTGGGAGGGGGATGATGTGGCATTGATCAGCAACTCTTTAAGGATGCATTTGATTTAAGAAGGTGCCAGTATGTGCTGGGTGGGCTTCTGTGCATGCTCCAAATTGCTTTTCCCCTTCAAACCTGGATCACTGCACAATCCAGTTAATGGTATGGCCAACCTCACTCCCAGTTCCCCACATTGGTCTTTCTCGAGCAGTGACCCCTTCCAGGAGCAGCTTTTACCTAGTTTGGGGTCTCTTGGAAAGAAGCGCTAAACTCTTCCACCACCGCATAATATCTAGACGCTTTCACAGATCCGAGCACCAGATGGCAGATGACGTTTCTTCAAAGGAGTAAATCATTGCTCTGAGCCAGGTTGGGGTAGTGGTTAAAGCACCAGGCTAGAAACTGGGAGACCGTGAGTTCCAGTCCCACCTTGGGCACGAAGCCAGGTGGGTGGTCTTGGGCCAGTCTATCTCGCTCAGCCCTAGGAAGGAGGCAAGGGCAAACCACCTCTGAAACTACAGGGACTTGTCCAGGCAGCCACCAAGAGTCAACACTGGCTTGAAGGCACCAAAAAAACCCCCCATTGCTCTACACCAGATCTCCAGAGAGAGGCACCCAAAGATTGCCCCACTTGATGCTGATGTTGCTTCCTAGTGTCTTTTGGAGTCTCAGAACTTTCCACTCTTTTCTCATTCTTCATCCAATGGCTTCTATTGTTCTTTTCAGCCTGCCCACAAGCCGCCTATTTCATCTGGGGTGGAGGAGGGGGGCGACCCCAGAGAGATTCTTCTCCCTATATGTGCCCGTTCTAAGCCATTCCCTCCTTAAGAGCAAGTGATTTGGCTTCGTAATATTTGAGGGGAAGTTTCTAAACACACATGTGGAAATCTAATAGATTTCATAACTTACCCTTTTGAAGTCTAGACCAGAGCGCTTCAGACTTTTCCAGGCTGTGGAACTTTTTCATGCATAAATAAGTGAATGAATGAGTGGACGAAGTCCTGGAACCCTTGATCAAGAGGGAGGGGGCTTCTAATGTCATCTAACAAGTCATATCCTTTCTGCTGATTGGTGATTAAGGGAGGGGGGAAAAAGGCACAGGCATTAAGGAAAATCCACTAACAAAGTCCACCAAAAGATGGAAGGAAATGTCACTCTAGCCCCATGTTTCTCAACCTTGGCAACTTCAAGATGTGTGGATGTCAAGTCCCAGAATTCCCCCCCCACCCACGGCGGGGGGGGGGGGAATTGGGGGGAGTGGACGTCCACACATCTTGAAGTTGCC